GGCAGTATACTTCTATTTTACATTCTTTCTTAAAACTTCTAAAAATTTTCTCTTTAATCATTTATATGCACCTACATTAGGTTCTTAAAATGTCATGAAGCTGCTTACAAAAACATACCATATCCAGTATCTCTTACATCCCAGAAATAAAAACGTACTCTAGGAATGCACTTAAAGTGATAATTTCTGCCACTAGTTCAGCTTCGAGTTTAACAAGTATTTGTTAAGTTTACCAGCAAAGTACTAGCTCCCATGAAAATAAACATACAAGCAGCAAAACAGGATCCCTGTGCCCAGGAGGGGTGAGTTCAGTGTAAGGAGAGGACGTGGCCCAGCTTTAAATAGTTGCTAGGGCATCCTACTCACCCAAGGCTGGTCGGAATTCTCACCACTGGAAAGGATTTCAAGGTCCCGGGGTTTCTTCTCTTATTGATTCATCTTACACAAAAGTTAGCCCATCACTCAGTCCTGGGCCATAGAGGGGCTGCACAACACTGCTATGGTATTTCAATGAGGGAATGGAAGCCTATGGAAGCAGATGCCGGAAGGAGAATCCAGGCTCCCTTTCCTTTATTTGAACTATTGTTCTCAGATGGGATCTGGATGAGGGTGCTCACACCTGCACTCAATAAAATGTGACCAAATAGTTGGTTATCTGAGCTCAACCAGCCCTCAAGTTATCTTCTTTTAATCAGCACGTTTGCCACAGGTGCAGCATCTTACTGGAAGAGGTTATTAGCAGGAAGGAGGGAGAGAGAAGCCAAGGACCTTCCTTCCACAGTGGGACCTTTTTTTCTGCTCATTAAGAAATCTGTCCGCAGAAAACCTGCAGAACTCGAAAGCAGCTGACGTTCGAAGCCAGTCAATTTTGCTACTTGTTAGCAGCTTTGATAAGAGGGGAAAATAGAAAGGGAAAAAAGGTCCTGTGAGGAGGAAATTAAGTCAGATTCTGTTCTGCTGGATTTCTACAATCCTTGCTCTCTTTAGCATGCATTGTCATGGAAAACTTCCAAGTTCTTTGTAGAAGAGTTCACTCTATTCCCTGATGCTCTACTCCTAATTTCTCCCTTCCTCCGTCTTTTATTTTTCATTTTCATTTATTTTTTAGAGACGAGGCCTCACTGTGTCGCCCAAACTGCAGTGCAGTGGCTGTTCACAGGTGCAATCCCACTACTCAATATAGGATTTTTGACCTGCTCCATTTTCAACCTGGGCAGGTTCACCCCTACTTAGGCAACCTGGCGGTTCCCCGCTCCCAGGAGGTCACCATATTAATGCTGAAATTAGTGCAGAAACCCCATTAGCATAGCACAATACAACCCAGGACTCCTGGGCTCAAGTGGTCTTCCAGCCTCAACCTTCTGAGTAGCTGGAACTACAGACACGCACCACGGCACCAGGCTCTCCTTGTTTTAATTAAGTAGTTTATAAAACGTGGACCACAAAACCTATAGCAATTGGGAATCCAATGGACGAAAGAAAGTATGTACAGATCCTTTGTCATTGTTCTCAGTCTCACACAAACCATGTTTTAGGAAAAGAAGTTTGAGATCAAAAGGAAAACTTAAGGGTTGGAATAAAATAAAGCAAAGTCCCAAGCCAAAGTTCAAACTCAGACCTTTCTGCCACTTTCGTTTCCAGCATGAACAAGCAGGGAATGAATATATCAGTAACTACAAGGATCTTATGATTTTATAAAAGGAATCTAAAGGCAAGATAACTGAGCCCCTATAAATGTTTGAATACATTCTAGAACATTCCAGAATGGTCTATTTCTTTATTAAGCACTACTTGAGTGTGGTCAGGTGACTATAATACAAAGCACAAATCCAAATATGGTTTCTTTTTATGCTATCAATAGTATCTTTTGGGATATAAAATATACATATTCATAGTAAACACTATGGAATCGATTTCCTAGGTTAGATAATGCCTTTAGAGTCTGTAGCCTTTAGGTAATGCTTTCTCTCTTCAGAGTACTGATTCATCATTACGTTAATATTGAGAATAATAGACCTTGCAGATGTAACCATAATCTTGGCAGATGCTTTCTTCTAGGTAAATGTTGCTACGTAAGTACCACATCTTTTTCAGCATGCACAACACATGCAAATTGATCACCAATACATATTGGGAATAAGAGAATTTTTCTCTCTGCAGAGCATTAATAAATTCAGTCTTCAGCTACACTTCTCAACCTTTAATAGGTTTCAAAAAAAATTAATAAATGCCCCCCTTCTTTTCCTTCTATCCTCCTTCCCTTTCTCCTTGTATCTCTCTAATATACAGAGAAGGGTAAGGTGAGACTTTCCTTCCTCACTCCACTATAATGATTATAAACTTTCTCTTTCTGATTAAAATGAGGATGTGAAAATGCAAGATGTTTCTGATGCAAAAATATTTTCAAAGTGAACCAAATGGGATCAAGAGACTGCCTGAGAAATAACATTTCCTACATTTACAGTCTATTTGCCTTACTCTTATAAAACAAAATTGCTTATTCAAATTCTCCCAAGTTTTGAAGTTTCACACAGGTTTTAAAATCGGTTAATATTCTTGAGAGAACTAAGGCGCTAGTCTTCCCAGGTGATAATATGCCATGCCCCGTAACATTTGAAAATGAATACTGTACATAGTGACCAAAATAGATGGTGGGACAGCAGTTTAAAGTCACCCCATGCTGCTGCTCCTAGTATCACTCTGCCAATGTAGTTGATAGTTTAATCAACTGGACTTTTCTCTAGTACCTTCTAGTAACCTTCAATAAAAAGCAATCCTCACCCGGGACAGTCAAGAAAGCTGGAAAAAAAAAAAAAAAAAAAAAAAAAAAAAAAAAAAAAACAATGAAAATTCACTAATCAGAAAATGCAAAGTGCTTCTGGCATGACTGCGTTACTGAATCTGATGCTTCCAAAGTTAACCTTCTGGGGTGTTAACAACATCAAAGTGCCATAAAAGTGATAGAGAAAAACTCCAAGAGCAAAGAACTAATTAGGTCCATGGGGACATGCCAGACAGGAAGAAAAGGTTTTGACGGGTACGGTGTAAATCCTTAGGTAGGGAAAACCGTAAACATGAATCACTTCTTCAGTCTAAATCCAATCTTTTAGAGCAGACATTTGGGATTGCCTACAAAGTCACAGGGCACTGACGGACAACTTTGTGTGTGGGAAGTTCCTGCAATCCAAGACAATCATCTATTTGAGAGCTACTCACATGCAGGAGATGTGTGAAAACTCACCAACTGAGAACAGAAGTTGACGTGTAGACCCTCTCTCCTGGAGGAGACTGGGAGACTATATATTCTGTGGGCCCAGGTCCAACATTTCTCTAGGAATTCTCTTTTCCACCTTTATTAAGCCAAAGTTCTCTGTAATATTTGTTTGTTTAGCCACGGCCAATTTTTCTCCCCGTTACTGTTTTGTTCTCTAGCTCCCCTCTCCCTTTTCTCATGTTTAGATAGAACATGTTTGCTCTCATTTGTGGTAAACTGACTACTTGTCACACGTGCCAACCCTCCGTCTTGGGATGAAACTGGAGACATTCAGAAATGTCTTTTGGCAAACTGGTCTATCTGGCTCTATATCTCCTGAAATTTATAACCCCTTTTGGTGAGAAAAAGAAATAGAATGTCTTGGTGAGACAAACAGCAGGAACCCTGATACACAAATGGAAGAGATAAACCCCTAAGGTCTGTGACAAAGGAGGCAAAATAAAACCTGTGCTGATTTCTCGTTATTGGTGTCATCCCTGAGACCAAAATTCCCTCTGTGGACACTGGCAGCTCCAATGACAGCAGGAAAATAAATCCGTGTCCTTATATTGTTCCCCACACAATTAGACATTATAATGTCCAAACCCTAATTCCTAAAGCCTTCTGAGCCAGCCTTCTTCTCACCAAGGAGAGCTCTAGATTTGAGGCTTCTAAGCTCAGAGGGCCCCACTCCCATCTTCCCCTCCCCAGCCCTCATGCATGCTACCTGCAGAGAGATATTCTAGCCAATTTTCCAAGCCGTAGAGATCAAGACACATCATTTAAAAATAATTTCTTTATCCACATGTCTGTTAAACACATACCTAAAGGAACAAACAGCACAAACTCTTTCTCAACCTTTTTCACATTGTCACTTCCCCAAGGAGTCTTTTAAGATTTTTTTCCTAATTATACCCCCAGTACAATTTTAATACCATGAATATCCTATATATCTATTTATCTGATGTATGTTTATGCTTTATAGGCTAAAAGAGTAAGTTTTCTTCATACACCAAGAACCAATTTTCGCCCCCTTAAGGAAGATATTCTATAATCCCTGTTGCAAATGCATGCTCTTGAAGCACGCAACAATTAAGGTCATTTTACTGGAAGTATTAAACTATTGCTTTTCTAATGTTCAGTGAAGTATATACCATCAGAAACACCAGCATTTTTATACATCAGTCATCTGTATTAAAATAGTCCAAGACCAGGCCTGGTAGCTCACGTCTGTAATCCCAACACTTTGGGAGGCCTCGGTGGGTGGATCACTTGAGTCCAGGAGTTCAAGACCATCCTGGGCAACATGGCAAAACCCAATTTCTACTAAAAACACAAAAAATTAGCTGCATGTGATGTTGTACACCTGTAATCCCAGCTACTCAGGAGGCTGAGGTGGGAGAAACACCTGAGCCCAAGGATGTTGAGGCTGCAGTGAGCCAAAATTGTGTCGCTGCACTCCAACCTGGGCAACCTGAGTGAGACTCTGTCTCAAAAAATAAAATTTAATAAAAAACTAAAGCAGTCCAGAGCAGCAAAGTTTTTATCTCCCGAGATTCTAAAACTTACTCTCTACGGCCTTTTCCTCATCTTCCATAGGAAATTCTACAGAATTAGCAATTATTACTCTCAAGTGAGTGCTGACCCTGCCTATTCTTTTATTAATTTTAATGCATTTTACTTATATACTAAGACACAAACACAGTTAACCCATTTCCCACTCCAGAAACTGAACAAATGGACTCACTTCTTGCCGTTTGAAGTTCTGGACATATTCTTCAAACTGTTCGTCTTTTGTCTCATCAGCTTTCCCCAGCTTCTGAAGGACCTAATTTGCAAATAAAACAAAATGGTTTAATTTAATAATGTTTTCAAAAGAAGATGTGAATTTTCTGTTAATGGAGCAAGGCTGCTATTTTGCTCTGAGGAGCACAGCAAAAACTATCAGCACTCCTAGGTTTTCTGTTCTGGAAGCATCTTGGCTTGGCAGCTCTGGAGTTGAACAAAAAAAAAACAAAACCTGAATCCCAGTCCTGCCCCTCACAGGCTGTGTGGCTTTGAGCAAGTGTTATGCTACACTGCACTTATTTCTTTACATAACTGTTTCCTTTAGCAGGCTGTGCATGACTTAGAGACAGAAGCTATGCCTTACTTGTCTTTTTGTACAAAGCATCTGGCACAATGCTGAATGCATCATTGGTACTCAACTGCTGTGAACAGTAGACCAAAGCTGTCTGACTAAAGTATTCATCTATTTCAGCAGTCCCCAACCTTTTTGGCCCCAGGGACCAGTTTCATGGAAGACAATTTTTCCACTGACCAGAGGGTGGAGGGGGAAATGGTTTTAGGATGATTCAAGCACATTACATTTATTGTGCACTTTATTTCTATTATTATTACACTGTAATATATAATGAAATAATTATAAAACTCACCATAACGTAGAAACAGTGGGAGCCCTGAGCTTGGTTTCTTGCAATTAGATGGTCCTATCTGGGGGTGATGGGAGACAGTGACAGATTGTCAGGCATTAGATTCTCATAAGGGGCACACAACCTAGATCCCTCACATGCACAGTTCACAGTAGGGTTTGCATTCCTATGAGAACCTAATGCCGCTGCTGATCTGACAGGAGGTGGAGCTCAGGCAGTAATGCTCCCTCCCCTACTGCTCATCTCCTGTTGTGTGGCCTGGTTCCTCACTGGTACCATGAACTGGTAATAGTCTGAGGCCCAGGGTTTGGGGACCCCTGATCTACTTCATAGGGACAGTATTAGAAGCCAGGATAATGGTAAGTACCCTCTCACCATCTTCTGATACTCCCTTCAACTCAATTAACACTCAAAGAAGTCATGGGATACACAAGGCCCCATGCTAAACACTGGTCATCCAGAAATACTAAAAGGCAAGGCCCTAACACTTAATCCTAAAAAAAATGTATACTCTAGTGGAATAGACAAGACAGATCCACAAATAACAAATCAAAGATAAGACATAGCATAAAGTCTCTTTGAGACAGAGGACATACGTAATAAATCGTACTTGCTCCCTTTGAAAGGCAGGACAGAAAGAAGATAACTAATATTATACTTCAGAAATACATGAAGAACTCATTTTCCTGAGTAACAAACGATAAACATGTCTTTTTTACTAGATATTTTCATAGCTCACATATTTCCCCAAGATTCATTTATAATGTTATATTAATAAATAAACCTAAGTATCAAAGTATTTACCCAATAACTCAGAGTCCATGCAAGATATAAATTTTCTTTGAAGCAAAAGTAATTATTCTCAATGAAAATGATTTTTTATTCTATTCTAAAAATAGTTGTTCATAAAATGTGCTAAGCATTTTTTCCTTTTCTCTGTCATTAACAAAGATTTATTTTTAAAATAAAATTGTATTCAGATTCACACATTACCAATTATTCCATATCATCCAATTTCATTTCATAGACCAATACTACATGTCATATGAAATATGTTATTTTTCATTGTAAATGTATTATTTTTCAAAAGCTAGAGGAATCTAGTATCATAAATATTAAAAGGACATAAAATTACTATATATATAATACTCTCCTGTCACTTGAGTTTCATATATATATGTAATGAAATTACATATATACATGAAATTATGTATATATGTAAAAAGACTATAACTCTGTTAAAAAGTTAATAGCGGTTATTTCTGGATGATAAGATTAAGGGTGATCATTATTTTCTTCTTTACAACTTTCTGCATTTTCCATAGGTTTTCTCAATAGTTAAAGTAACAAGAAAATCATTAAGATAAATATTTATGAGTTTATCATACTATAGAATTTTTATAATTAATGTACATATTAGATTTTAGTACAAGTAAGTGGATGTGTTAGTGGCTGGTTAAAAACTCCCACAAAAGATAATGATAAGCCAATTAATATAAACTGAAAATAAGTCTTCCAGAGGCAACCATGAGGGACCTATATCTGACTGAGTGGCTCACACGTAAGATAAAGGTATGAATAGTGCCTGCTTCACAGTGTTGCATGGAACCACCAAGGATACACATGGAAATACCAGGCTATGATGACCAGCATATAGTTAATGCTCAACAAAGAATATTTATTATTATTATAGATATTTTCATCTCTCCCCTAGCCCCCTATCCTCCAACAGGCCCCAGTGCGTGATCTAACCCCACTGAACTTCATCAGTGTATAAGCTTATACTGACAAAAAGCCAGGGACGATGTTGAAAATGTTACATGACCAAAATCAGGATTCACAAAATACCTTATTTAACAAGATAAAATTCAACAAGGATAAAACTTGGGACAAAATGTAACTGTACAAGCACCAGATTTATTATTCAACTTTCAACCAAAATGCAGCAAGACAGATGTTAGGGATGGGTGGTTTCCACCCTTAAGTAGAAGGGATGACTTTAACACATAGTCAGTATGAGCCAGCAAAGTGATGCTGCTGCCAGAGCATCTAATGTAATCTCAGGCTGCACTAACAAAGCCTAACAGTTACCAGGTAAGTGGCCCTAGACATTCTCAGAGGTAAACAAGTTGGTAAACACATAAATACACAGACAGTCTGGAGCCAACTAAATGAGCTCTCAAAAAGGCAGAGTTGACACTATGTAATGAGAACAACACTTGATATGATTTAGTATAGTAGCAGGGAGAAGAGAAGACCCAGGGAAAAGAGCACAGCCATCCTCAAACACTGGAAGGACCATCACAACAAAGAAGGATCAAACTTGCTCTGCCAGGAAACTCACATCAGTAGGTAAAACGTACATTGAAAATTTGTTTTCACAAAAGTTTTCATTGTAGCTTTCTGGAAATTAAATAGCTCGTTGCTAGAGTTAATAAGCTCATCATTCTAGAAGTTGTATGAGCTTAATCAATAGTTAGGGTCCCAGAGAAGGGACTTACTCATCAACCAGGTAAATAGACTATGTCACATTTCAAATACATTCTAATTCTGAGAATCCATAATAAACGTATTATGTTAGACATTTTCCCTAGTGAAGAATGCAAATAACAGTGAACAGTAGCAGAGAAGAAATGTTCTTCATATTTACTAAAGATTATGCATCAAACACTGGGCTAAGGGGCAACAGGAATAATAGGCTGCATTCTAAAGGCTGCGATCATTCAACAGTATTTAAGTCCAGGGTGGGAGGTGTGGAACTGGCATGGACAAGGGTGGCATTGATAGGCAGAGGGCAGATTACAGAAAGGCTTAGGCAGCAAGACTCAGAACTTTGATTTTCTTGTACAGACCATGGAGAGCCAATGAAGTGTTTCTCTGGAGGGAGCCACAGGAAGAGATCTACTCCTTGGTGGCATGGTTAGAGACAGATTAGAAGAAAGCAAGATAGGAATAATGAGACCAGTTAAGAGGTTTTTTTTTTTTTTTTTTTTTTTAATAGTCCGGGCAATAAATGACAGAACCGGAGCTAGTGAACAGATAAATCTTTAAGAAATATAATACACAGTACATAATGGCTTAGGAGATGAAAAGAATGAAGAACAACAGAGTGAAGGATGACTTCAGGTTTCTGTGGGAGAAACTGAGTAGGCATTGATTCCTTCAAACAAATTAGACATCATTTTGGACATACAGGGTTCGAGACAGCTCTGTGGCATCCAGGTAGAGATACAGCAAACAGCATGATATGGCCAAGGTTACGACAGATGCTCTGAGCTACAGTTACACTTTGGAAATCACCAGAGTTGGGTGGCAGTAAAGCTACTAGAGTGTATGAGAAAGCCCAGAGAAAATACGATCTATGGAAAGAAGTGGACCAAAGACAGTGCAGAAAAATCATTATTTGAAAAACGGGCAGAGGAGGAAAATCTTGACAGGAGACTGGGGACCCTGAGGTATGGTCAAACCAGGAGCAAATTCATAGAAATCAAAGGAGACAGTTTCAATTGCTACAGAAAACTCGGCAAGTTAAAAACCAAAAGCCCTGAACGTGTCCACTGGATTTAGCAACCAGAAGGTCCCTGGGGACCTTGCCAAGGGCTATGAGTGGAATGGCAGTCAGAAAGCAGATCACAGTAGATTGAGCAAATAGGAGTGAGAAGAGCAAACAGGTTCTTTTTCCAGAACCTGGGGACATGAAGATTCAAAGAAGCAATACCTGACCCTGTTTCTAGGCCAGAGAGAACTGACCACAGAAAGGAGGCAAGAGCTATGAAGGTGTCACACAGTAAGAAAAGTTTCAAACAGGGTGGCATCTCAGATTCACCAGAAAGGATCCACCTTGCTCAGGGAGAGGCACAACTGTTCCTCAGAAACAGGAAGGATTTCTGAGAAGGCAGGGAAGATTGCCAAATCTTCCCTGGCCAAATTGGAAGGAATGCACGCACGGCAGATCCATCTCTCCTCTGGGGTAAAAGACCAGATCATCTGCTGAGCAGCAGTGGGGCAAGGTCATGGGAAAGGTCCCGAGGAGAGGGGAGTGATTCAGATGTGGAACTGGAAAAAATGAGAACCAGAGATACATGGCATGACTTTTAGATGAAACTGAAGGCCCCACTGAGACAAAGGCCATGATGTGCAGTTGCCTGCAGGTAAACAGTTTTGTCATTTTCCTGCAGCAACCTCAATGGAGGTGGTAAGATTGATCTGCTATATAGAAAAGATCTTAAGGCACCAAAGACAGTGAAACCCAGAGCTGAGATAAGTAAAAACGTTTTTTGCCTTGCTCTATGTCATGAGTATTTGACAGTGTGTTGATAATTTAAATGACCTCTCTCATTAACCACTCCTTTGGCAGTGTTGAAAACACCAATTAAACCTGAATGGTGTGGCACTG